GCATTCCTGGCCTGAAATCAAACATCTTAGGCACTAAGCAGCGCTGGGTAAGTTCATTACACTGTTTTGAATATGTACAAATTAAGTTTTACTGCCCTCTATAAATGCCTATCTCTAAAGTCTTTTAACAAATAAAGATATCAAACTATTTCTTTAACTTTAGATTACGTGGGGTTCCGGATATCACAAGTTATTTCCACTCACTGTATCAACAACATCGCTCAATACTCTTAACAAGTTGAGCCTTCCTCAGACTACCTAACATTACAAACACTCCAGCACTGCGCTTAAAATGAGAAAAGGAAGAAAGAAAAGCCATTTCAGAAATGGCTGCTCCACACACCCTTTCTAGCCAGCAGCTCCAATGCAAGAGCAACTGTTATTACAGCCAGATCATACAGATCTAGTCTACAGCTTCCTACCTCAGCCACGCGAACTCAAAACAAGTTACTAACAACTACAACACATGGTAATGGAAAAACAGAGCACATCACTTCGATTGCTACTGTTCATCCTGTTGGCCAGAAACAAGGATATAATTAAGCCGAGCAGAACAGACGTATATATTAAGAAATGTAAAGCAGTGGCTAACACCTCACTCCCAGTAAAGCACTATGCTACGAGACAATCCCTGCTACATAACCTGCCCGGAGGAGGGGAAGGAAACAGAATTCTTCTCTTCCCCTCTCCTCTCAGGTTAACGTTAAAAACTGCATTCATCCCTGACACAAAATCAAAACAAACAAAACCCACGGAGAAGTTACTGCTGTACTTCTGCTCATCCCTCCTCTTCAGCAGTTACACCAAGAGATTTAATTCCTTCTCAAGACGGGCACACAGCTCACTGAAAAGAAAACCAAATTCATCCAAAACGTTACCCTTTCTAAGTTAAGCCTTGGCATAACAATTACGTTAACACGCTAGAAAGTGTTCAACATGTAACAGGCACTAACACCACACTCTCTAGTTCCAGCGAACAACAAAGTTAATCGTTCTTTCAGGACCTTTTTAAGACCAGTAACATAGTGGAGGACAAGCCACGGGTGGTCGGTTGCTACGAGAAACTGATACACCTTTACTACCTTGTAGACAGCAAAGAGCACAATCAGATTGACACAAAATAACACTATTTATAACCAAACTTGCATCTCTCCTACCGGTAAGTCCACGCTGACATCCGTTCCATCCAGCAGCGCTACTCGGCAAGTAATGATGGATTTTGCATCTCCAGCTGCAGGGATGTGGGTTGCAGCTCTCTGGGCCTCTCTCAGCCGTTCCTTCTCCGCATGCTTGCGCATGGACCGCCGGCCCAGGGTTCGACGGAAAAAGCTCAGCATCTTTGCTACAAAACCCAAGGCAGAAAAAGAACATATTAACGTTAAGTTTTTCACAAGAAGAGCAACAACTTATATTTAAAGTTCTTGCAAAACACCTTTTTTTTTATAAGGAACTGTTAATAGACTTAAGTAGAGGTTTCACTTCTCCGGGTTTAAATACCCACAGTCTTCGGCTGCTTTGAAAAAATCTCAGCTCGATGGCAGTTGGGGTGATTTTGGGGACAAACTGAAAGTACATTAGGAGGAAAAACACCGATGGCAGAGATCCCATACAATCAGCTGCAGTTTTTCATTAACACCAACGCTGCTGTGCTCTTCAGCGAGGTGGTGACGCTCTCTCAAACCTGGAAAGCCACTCAGAAGCACGTACCACCGCCTATCTCCTTTTTTCTTTTTGAATGACATACTCTACTTCTCTCATAAGCGGAGAGGAAAAAAAAAAACTTACAAACGGCCCTTTGCGCCCCCGAGCCCCGTTTCCAGAGCC